ATTAGAATTGGGTTTTGGGGGCCCATTATACTATAATCATAATAAGGAACCCATTCTACTAGAATAGTATAGGCGATGATTTAGGCCCCTACGGTACTCATCTCTCTCAGGAGGTAGCTTCGGGATGCAGGCAACAGGAAAGACAAGGCCATGGCATGCAGACAGATCCACGGGCCTCTGTTAGTCAACACATCCAGCACAAGCTCACACAGTGGAAGTTCCGTCTCTCTCACACACACACAAACTCAAACGCGGCCAAAGCTGAAGACCAAAGTTGAAAAATCGACCTTGAGCTTTGGGTGTTGCTCAATAGACTTTCGCAACATGAGGCTGCTGCCATGCTACAGAGGGTTTCTGAGGCGGGCGCTCTGGGACAGCCTAAACCTTAAGCCATGAACCTCTAAACTACCCAGAGTGGAACAAGCTGCAACTTCCCCTAAACCCTAAACCCCAAACCCTAAAACCCGAGAACCCCAAACCCTAAAGCGCTAAACCCTAAATCCCAATCGCCGAACCCTAAACTAAACCCTAAACCCTAAGACGATTCGATTGAAGCCAAGGAACTCCCGGCTTGAAGTCCATGTTCGTCAGGCCTCAGCGTGCGAGGGGGCTGGGGCTCATCCTTTTGGGTTTGCTCGTGTAGGGTTTAGGGTTTAGGGTTTGGGATTTAGGGGGGCTTAGGGGTTTTAGGGGGTTTAGGGTTTAGGGGGCTTAAGGGTTTTAGGAGGTTTGGGGTTTAGGGGGTTTAGGGTTTAGGGAGTTTAGGGGGTTTAGGGTTTAGGGTTTAGGGGGTTTAGAGTTTAGGAGTTTCATATAGGGTTCACACGCGTGTAGGGTTCTTGAATTTGAAGGCTTTGACTCGGAGGGCTTGTTTAGGATCGAACCTAAACCCTAAACCCTATCAGAGCCCTTTAGTACGGTATAAGAGCCCTATAATTTATACCTTATAAGAGCCCTACAAGAGCCCTAAGCCCTAAACCCTAAGCACCAGGCATCCACAAAAGATACGTAGACTTACCGACCTTCGGCCAGGAGGCGGAGCGACATCGCGGCAAGGGAAGCAGCGGAAGGGAACTACTCCAAGCAAGATATCTAAGGAATGCGGAAGATGCTCCTTGAAGCCTACCAGCAGCTACAAGTGGAGACACCTTAGGCGACTCCAACTTACACTCTCCACAACTGCCGAACGAAACTCATGCATGCTATGCCAGATGTGCAGACTGGATTCCTGCTGTGATGGAATACGGCGGAAGCTGGGCAGGCAAGCTTTAAAGACATTGACGACCTCCTGGGCCAATACTTTGAGCACTTCTTGTCTGAAGCTGGTGCAGATGCATTATGGTCATCATGTGCGCTAGTACTTGTCAGCACAATCAACACGCTGTCACTACCTGCTTCTTGGTAGGTAAGACCAAGAATACCACACAAAACCTTAACCCCTTACCCCCTAAAGCCCTACATGTCAATATCCTTTGGGCACCTTTTGAAAGCACGAGCCTGGCGCGAGGTCTCGGTGATCTCTCTCGCCAGCGGCGACTGGGCACTGCTGGGCTTAGTGGAGCGGCGCAGAGCTCGCGTGGGCAGCAGTTTTAGGAAGTGGAGACCTTTCTGTTTTCGGGGCCTTAGGGCTTACCTGAACCCACGCTGACCTGCCTTCTTAAGGACTTATAATAAGGAAATCATATCAAGGAACCCT